GGTGTGTCCTCTTCCATGCTTCCTCTAGAGGCATGCTCTAGAAAGGCAGGATTCCCTTCAAAAAGCCGGTGCTCAAGAATGATTTAAACTTGCCTCCTTTCAATTTCGTCTGAATTTCTTGAGCTGTCTTTTCTGTCAGATGTTTTCGCAATATTGTGGAAGCACTGCAGACTCCTGAATTTTTACTCTTTCCTGCCCTGTGACATTCCCACTCGCAATACTTGGAGAATGTGCTGTTTGACTTACCAGGAAAAATAGAAAAAAACCCCACCCAACCAACCAAACAGAAAACCCCAAAATGGGACTCTGGACTGGTCCTAGATGACTAGTTTTAAGGCAGAGTAGTGCTCTTGTAAGACTGTCCCTTGAACTCAGGAGGTACTTGGGTTCAGTGTGGCAGCACGCACTTGCCGCGATGCAGTGCCTTCAAAACAAACTCAACACAACTCTGAATGAAATCCTCTGGCCTCGCGGCTGACGTCTGTCTGCCGACTGGAATGTCATCAACACTGTGCAAATGTCACGTTTTAGAGGAGACGTTGAAGAGCTGTTAAACCTCGCCCTTCGCTGGGCCATTTCGTGTTGCGGTGCTGGTTGGGGGATTACTTTGGTTACACCTCGGGGTGCGGTTAGTTCTTGGGCTGCCGTGCAGGGCTGTTCTGTTGAGCTTTCGGAAGGGATGGGGAGTTCCCTGTCTCCGTGGTTGAGTCGAGGGTAGGTCACGTACCCATTCAGAAAACGTTCTGTCACGGTGAAGCTCCTCATGCGCTGCCTGTCGGGGAGTCAGCTGCTCGGGCTGTGCCACCAGCAGGTTTGGGCCCTCTCGGGGCTGTGCTGCCGGCTCCGTGAATGTCCCTCGGGGCGATGCTTGGGGCGGGCTCTGTTGGGTTTGTCACCACGTTGTCTCCAGCATGGCTTTTGCTTGCCCAGACACACGCTGAAATGGCAAGCGGTGCCAGTAAGATGTTGAGGCATCAGGTGGGGTGTGTAATCAGATTAATGATTGAAAGTGTGTTAGCTTTTATTGACTCATCCTTTCAAAACAAGGTAGGTGCTCCTTTGGAGCACAGTGCTGTATAATAATAGTGCAAATGGAAGTTCCATGACCTGTTTGGCCTACTGAACTACGTAATTTGAGAAAATATGATATACCAGTTGTAGGTGAGATCATTGATGCCTGTTTTGGTGGAAGCTGAAAATCCAGAGTCCTTAATCGGGATGTTTCGAGGCAGTGCTTCCAGTGCCAGCTACAGAGATGGTTGGTTTGTCACAAGTGCACAAGTGGTGTTGATTAGAACAGGGTTGAAATAATCACCTAATGAGAGAGCATATTGTTACGCGCTAGGGAGAAGATGTGTTTTTGGGAGTTACTTTGGTTTTTGGTAGAGACAGTCTGGCAGTTAGGAGTCATGTTCATCTCTTGCGCTGTAAGTCCTTCCCCCAGCAGCGGGTTACCAAGGCATCTCGGCCTAATAAAGGCTTTTCTGGGTAGCTTCACATCTGGGCTGGACTTCCAATGACTTCTGTTCTGATGAGCTTCTGTGTTGCATCTGGGTGGAAATACTTCTTGGGTAGTGCTCAGAGGGATGCTCTCGCAGCCCTGTCCGACTCAAAATGGTGGATTAAAGCAGGCCATCAAATAAAGTAGGAGCTTTTTTCAGTAACTTCTGTATAGCATACATATGACACACAAGTTACTAAAACTAGCAGATTTCCAGAAGTACAGGTGCATTTAAAAGTGGGATTTTTAAATTGTGCATTAAATGTAAAGCAGTAGGAACTTCAGAGCATAATTTGAGCTGTTTGTACATTTTTGCAGGAAGAAGGTCATGGACGCTAATGCAATTGTTGACTTCGGGTTTCTGAGTCAGTATGAGGCAGCAGGCAGAGTGGCTGTTGTTTGCCTGCCCGCCTTCATCCGTTCCCTGGAATACTTCCTTCCCTTCACTCATTCAACCATACTATTGTCTTGTAGAATAGATGGCAAGTTTTAGACTGTTGTGCCTCTTCTGCTCTTGACTTTAATGTGATGTTCAAATCTTTTGCTTTTGGAAGCTTTCTGAGTTAATGGAATCCTTATTTTTAATCGCAGGTCAGGTTGGCAAAAGCCCAGCAGCCACGTGCTGGCCATCGCTGGCAGTAAAACAAGTTCTGTGCTGTAAGGGAGCGGGAATGGACACCGTTGTTACCTCAGGCTTTGTTGGGCTTTGCTGTGGGAGCTCTGCTTGGACACGGGTGACTAGTAGCCGTGTTGAGCGCGATGTCACTGCTCCCTCTGCAGCTGGGGAGCCCTGCGGTGCTTTGCAGGTCCTGGCGGTTGCAGAGTCTCTGCTGGGGATGTTGCTGCCCGCTGGGAGCAGGTTCCTGCTGGGAGATGCCAGTTTAGTCTGAGAGCTGTTAGACTGAGCTGGCATCCGTGAAATTCAAATTGATCAAACAAAAATTTCCAGGGGCTTCAGGAGGAGTACTGCAGCTTTAATCCTTTCTTATTTTAAAAAAAAGAAAACAGAACTTTTTAGTTTTACATTGTTTCACTTCAACTTTAATAAAATTTCATCACCAAAATGAATTCAATTAATTGAGGCAAAGGAAAAATGAAGACACTAAAGGCAACTGGTACCAGGTCCCTTCACAGAGCGAACTTAGCAATGTGCTCTGCTGTATGTAGACACTCTTGCACAAGTTCTCTGGCACGGTGACCAAGCTGGTGGGACACTTCAGTACCAAATACAAATACGGGCTGTGATAAGCGTCCTATACAGATAAAGCCTTTACTTCACCAAGCTGTCGTCGCTCTTCTGTTGATCCATTTAAATGTGTAGTGATCGACTTTTAAGGTGAATTCATTTCGGCATCAGCCTGTGATTAGGTGGCTGGAGCTCCCTTCACCGTGCACTTAGCAAGTGGACTGAAAAGAGGCCTGTAACACCTCTGTATGTGTACACGCAAGGGTAGGCTGTTCGGGAGGCAGGTGTCCGTGCTTCTAACAGTCAGTGAATTGTCACAAAATACGGAAAGAGGATTTATTCCTCTTCTTGCGTCATGGGCCTGTTGTCCCTGTTCAGATTGACCTCGGCAGGCCCGTATCATTGCTGTCCTCACACGGGCAGTCTCTTTCTAGGCAGGTGCTGCCGCTTGTGATCTCCTGCAGAACTACCAGAGTCCTCAGTTCGGCACAGGCGCAGCGAACTCCTGCCTTTTTGTGGAGCTGCTGTTGCTTATCCTGCAGCTCTGACATCTCAGCCCGGGGCTCTGTGGCCTGGAGCAGAAAGCACATTGTGCGACTCGCACAGCAGGCAGAAACAGCTGCTGTGGGCTGCTGGAACTGCAGCTGCGTGATCTCCCCGGTGCTTGCCTGGGCCTCAGTGCTGCTGGAGCTCCTTCTCCGCCAAAAGGTTCCAGTGCCAGCCTCCCTTGGCAGGTGCCTGTCTAAGGGCTAGATTGGCCTTTTGAGAAGAGCTCTAGGAGTTGGTTTCAGGATATGCGACTGCTGTAAAAGATTCTGTTGTGTCAGTAGTAGTCCTTTCTCCTACAGTTTGAAGCTATTCTGAAGTCCAGAGGAAGCTTCCTTGCTCCCCCCTAGGGGGGAAGGTCAGGAATTCCTTTCAGCAAAGTGATTTCTTAGTTTTCTGAAGCAGTCTGTCATTTGGAAATAGCAATAATATTTTCCTGACACTGTTGAAATGATGTCTTCTGGTAGGCAGGTTTTGGTCTAAAGGAGGTTCCTGCCTGTAGGAATAATATACTAAAAAACGGAGCATAAATTGTGAAATATTTGTTTTGTGTGTGATCACGGAGCCAAACCAGCCTGACAGAGCTTGACTAGATATACAGCATCTTTGGGTTTCAGACCGTCATTCTGATTCAGTCTGCAAAGGCAAGGGCTCTTAATATGTAAAACTGTGGGCAGATTACAGGGAATGGCTGCTGATAGTGCTTAAAAAATATTCAGTCGTGTCCAGCTTGTCTAAGTACAGTATAAAACCCATTTTCAGGGCAAGATCTTTATATTTTAAGCTTGGTCAAAATGTCCCACGTAGTGGGGGGTGTGTGGGTGTGTGTGTTGGGGCCTTACATAAAAGGTCAGAAGGCTTTCCTCTTCAGAAGACTGACGTGGTGTAAGCCAAGGCAAAGCATGGACAGCTTCAGACACACACAGTTTTTGAAAGACTTCTCAAGGCTATTTTCATAAGTAATTTTGTTTGAGACTCTGCTCTGCAAAAAGTGAATCAAAAGAATTCACATCCCTGTGGTTAATTCAAACTAGATGATTAGCTTAAGGGAGGAGATACCGCTTCAGTTGGAGCTAATTCTGCCTGCTTGTGAAAGCAAGCTCAGAAAAAACCTCACGTTTCTGTGATCCAAATTCTAGCACTGCCAGTTTTGTTTCCATTTAAATGTGGAGCACTGAGCAGCTGAGAAGAGTGGTTGTTGAGGGGTGAGCTCCAAGAAAGGGAGATGGTGGGCTCTCTCCTGTGCTCTGCCAGCCCTGGGCACGAGCAGCAGAGGTGAAGATGTTCAGGAACCAGCGATGGAAGCATGGCGTGGGGTCTTGGTGCTTTAGCTGCGTGTTCCAGGGCTAGTCAGACTTCAACATCTGGTTTATGCAGCTGAGACTTTGATGTGGTTTGTTTTTCTCCAAAGATCTCTTGGTTTTGTAGCCTAATAGAAGCAGAAGCAACTTAAGCTACATCAGAAAAGAACTTCATGCATTAGCAGATTCTCCTTTAGTGACCTGTGAGACCATTTTGCTGTTGGCATTCAAACGATTTTAAAAAACTAAAAGATTTTGCTGCTTGTGTTTTGATTATCAAACCTGAAGATTTCTTGAGATGTACTGTTAGTGTGTTGAGATGATAAAAGCGCGATGTTACGTAGAAGATTTTGCTCTTCTATCTGTAAAGGGATTCTCCGAAGCGCTATGTAATTAGATATTAATGTTGTGGGGGTTTTTTTACAAATTGACTAATGTTTTTTTTCTGTATTTCTGTTGTTTTCAGAATACACAGATGATAATGCCCTGATTCCCAAGAACTCGTCTGTGATCGTTAGAAGAATCCCTATTGGAGGAGTTAAAGCTACCAGCAAAACATATGTTATGTGAGTATCCATAGAGCGTTGTATTCTCTGTGAGGGGTTTCTGTGGGTGAACTTCTTAATGGATATTAGTTTGCAGAGGCATTCAGGTTGTGTCTGTCTTGTTAAAGCTGCTTTGGTTTTTTGTTGTAGTGGGGTAGATTTTAATGTATCTGTGCCAACGACTTAGCCTTGTAGGCGTGCTGGGACGTGGGGTTCAAACTCCAACAATGGTAACTTTTAAGGTGTTTCTGTGGAGTTTGTTCTTGGGGTTCATTTTTCTGAGACCCAAGTTGTAGATCCTGTTTCCTCTGTGTGGGGAGATTCCTTATTATATGTGTTTGCTTGTAAGACATATATGCATTGCAGTGTAAACTTGTGATTTCTTCCCGTGTCAGAAGAGTCTGATTCTCAGTGTTTGACTGTTTCTTGCATTTGGGGGTGGGTGGGATGTGGCAGGTATTCTCATGCCCCAAACCTGGTTTTGTTTTGCATGCTAGCTGCAGAGGCAAGGCCAAGGGTTGCCAGCTGGCAAACCATGCAAACAAGAGGTCCCATTCATAAGCGATTCCTGTTCGGTTCCTAAAGACAGTATCCGTTTCAAGCAAGGCAAAAAGAACAATATACTAAAGCATGTTGCCCTTTGTGTGAGTTCGATGAAGGAATGGTTAATCCTTTCCACACCGGAAACCGAGTAAGCAGTTGAGCACGTTATCAGATGTTACTAGTTAGCTAAGACTGGTTTTACCCGAAGCTGATACCTGTGCTACAGGTTTTAATTCTGTATTCCTAAGATTTGTGGAGGACAGAATCGGATGTATTGACTAAAATGATGGATGTTCAGATGCAATCCCGAGTACCAGGATTGTTGCTGTCGCTTGTGTATTCATACTGTCCAGTTCTAGATCAGCTACGTTAGTGTTGTTTGACTGGCTGTAGTTTCCACCCTTCTCAAAGAGGCCTCTCCACCGCTGTTAGTAGATATTATTAGCATGTGGTTTGGCCATGTCTTCCTCACGGTGGTTCTCGATAAATGAAGGATACTGGTGAGTTAGTGTGTCTCAAACAAACGTACAGCAGCATCCTGGTACCCACGAAGCATTTGCAAGCAAAACCCCCTGAAATTATGTGGCTCTGTCCATAAACTTTGGACATGTTACTGCAGTAGTTGTTTGCAGGCACTGCCTAGTAGCTCTGCACGCCACAGTGTTGTGGTTATAAACGTGGCCTCGTGCTTAGTGCTGGCTTGTCAGTGCCTCCTCCGTGTCTGGTGGGATGGCACCTCTCCTAGTGTGTAACGCTGCCCTAAAAGGAGAGGGGTAGGTGCTGCTGGCATCAAAAGTGAGGTCGGTGCCTTCGGTGGGGATAAGGGCAGACTGGCCCTGCTGTTCTGGTGCCGAAGACGAACCAGGCACGGTCGCTTTCTGCTCCTTCAGCGGGAGGCGCTGCAGAAGCAGCTGGTAGAGTGGGTGGTGTTTGGGAGCGCTGGATGTGTGCTGGGATGGTGGAGGGGCTTCAGAAACGCCTTACTCGCCTTGTAGCCTGTTCTTCCAAGGTAAATGGGGGAAGAAACCACTGTGTGGTAATCTAAAGTATTTCCCTGTACTTCCTCGTCATCAGGAGGTACGTGGCTGTAATGGCAAGCCGGGTGGTGTCCTAGCAGGGGCAGGAAGCGCGAGCCTTTCTGGTTGTACCTAAATTCCACAGCAGCCTTGGAATTGCCTCTGCTCACAGGACATGTTGGATGATGTATGCGTTGTCTGTTAACTCTATCAGCGGTTGCATGTCTGATTCGTGATGAGTAGCACGCAGATACAGATCAATGAGTATGTGGAATCTCAGCAAATCTCAGCATTTTCAAATGTAATAAATATTGCTAAAATATCGTAGCATTTTCAAGATTATCTTATAGCAAATTCTGGCAATTAAGACTTTTTTTCTGTCACAGGACTCCTAAATCGCACAAAATCCTAGAAACTGCTTTCAGGTGACATTTCTACTACTATTTTTAGTCAATATAGCATATGTAACACGTTTAGTATTTTGGCACGTTCATGGCTAAATATAGTAGATATCTGAACACAGTGCTTGGGCTTCCACAAAGAAACACTGTTCTAAAGACTATGCTGCTGACATTGTTATGTTACTCCTTTGTCAGATGACTGATTCTTTTCACTTAAGTAAACTGGCACGTCAGAGTGTCCAGGCTATCACTGTTCTGTCCTAGAAATTCAAGTGCTGTATCTCGTACCTCTCTGTAATACCAGGGGGTACACATCTTGGCTAAAGCTGCCTTTGTATTTTGGTGGTTGATTGTTTCTGTGGTACAGACTTCAGCTTTTTGATATTTACATAGCAGAGACAAAATACCTGAGGACTTCCTCTTGCACTGTTGTGTTCTAGATCTGTAAGTCTTAGAGTGATTTGTGACAAAGTAGAAATGTGATTTTTTGGGGGTTTTTCTGTTCGCACAGTATGTACCAAGAGAGAACAGTTTATGTATACGAATGAACTCTGCATTTACTAGACTGTCAGAACGTAATGTTTTCGTGTTCAGGTTTATAATCTGTTTTCACTGCTTTGTGTTGGGTACAAGTGCTTTACTTTGAATTCTGATCACCTCTATTTCTTCTTCTAGAAGTCGAACTGAGCCAGTGAGTGGAACATCAAAAGCAGTATGTAAAAACACAATCTCACACTTTTTTCTACACACTGCACTTAATTCTAAACAATGTAGCCTTTTATTAACTTTCTAAGCATTAACTTAATACGTTTTCCAGTAAAACATAGTGTATGTTGTAAATACAATGTATTTGATTCAGCATAGTAAAAACTGAGTGATGCCATCGTTTGCACAGTTCTAATGTGAATACTGGTATTTGTGCGTAGTGATGCGTTGTATTTCATATTGAATATGCTAGAATATTTCCTGTATGACTCTGTGTTGTACAGATAATGTACGGTCGTTTTTAGATCCTGTAGGTTGAAGGTTTGCACAACTGAACATGGTGCCATGTTCTACATCTGTCTGTCTATAGCTAGTAATATGTATGTTTGTATAGGTTGTTGTGTGCTTTTTGTTTCTTGCAATAAAAATTGTTTGGAGTGTATTTTTTGCCATTTTCACATTGTATCACTTAGCTTTTGTTTTTAAATACCTTTTTTTTTTTTTGCCGAATGGTTTTTGAAAATGTTATCAAAAACCACTGAGAAACCATTATTGTTAAACTTGGTACTGTTTCTTACTTTTGACTTGGGGGTTCAAACAAATACCAAAACCAGCATATCCCACACACTCTGAGGACAGTTCTGTGCAGCTGAATGATTCCTTCATGCCCTTAAATACTTGGGTGTTTGTTCCCAAAGCTGTATAATTGAAGTGATATTGTTTGGGCCCCTCTGAGTACATCAATGTCTTTTAATAGATTGCCCTGAATTTAAGTATCGTTGCTACACCAAGTGGTATTCTAAAGTTCTGCATTTAATCTTCCCACTTTATCTGATGAAGTGGTTTAGTTTAATAGTTTGTCCGCAATGAAAATATCTTAGTACAAATTTTGGCACGAGATTAGAGCCTGGTGCATTTGTGGGTAGAATCCCTGTCATTTTCCTTAACTTCTGCCTGCAGTGCATTTTTGGATCTCGGTGACTTCAGGGTTGGATGCTGCTTTAATTTCCCAAAGGTTAAGCCTCTCTTTAGTATACCACCGCTTTGAATTTACATTTGGAAAAGGGGCGGCATTTTTCTTCAGGTTGGAAAATGCTGTCGTTCTGCTGCTGAAATACAAATGACACACGGAAATACTTGACTGGTAATGGTCTAGATCTTGATTTGCCACTTGGGTCAAATGCTGTGTGTAACTACGCATTTCAAAGTAGTCCTTATAGTACAAAAATTACTATGTGGTGTTTTTTTATTTTTCATCTTTATTTTAAGTATAACTGCTTTTTCTTCACTAGAATGGTGTGAGGCATTACACTAACCCTGGATCATTGGATCTGATCACCTGATAAGCTGTTAGGGTAACTTAATCTAGAAATTCCTGAACTCTGGGTCTGTGTTCTGTGAAGAATGCAGCCTCTGATTCTCATGGAATGGTACACAATCAACTTAAAATTGAGAACATTTTGTGTGTAGGTCTAAAAGCACTAAGTCTAAATCTGCATCTGTAATTCAATTGCTGATATTGATTCAAATTCCTTTTTGGACATGAATGCCTCTCATTGTGAGTTTTGAGTTAGTTTAACTGGCCCAGTGACCCTAGTAGTTAATGTAATGCATTTTTGTAAACCACGTTTATAGTATTGGATCTAATTCAGATGGGTTTTTATTTCTTGAAAACAGTTATTTTTCTTTTTGTTTACTAGCATGTGTATAAACACAAATCACATGTTCATAAATAAAGTTAACATTCTTTTAGCCTCGTGTGTTCCCTGGCATGTCTGTATTACATTTCTAAGTAGCATCTTACCATAAGCTAACATAGATGTCTTGAAAAAGAAAAAGAAAATCCTGGAGTGGGAGGGAAGACTTAGTGTTAGTTAGAACTGATGAAAGTAAATGAAAGGCAAAGCAAGACATTCCCTTCTTGTTGGCTCTGACGGTACCTGATTTGGGTTGTGGGTGGCCATAGGCAGTGCGGAAGCCTTGCGTCTCGTAGCTGTACAAGTCCTGCCTCTCGCTGTGGAAGCAGTGCAGCCTCAGGTGCTTCTGGTGCTGGAGGCACAATTTGCTTTATTCTTAAAGCTAACCCAGCTCTTGGTCTAAACTGTGGGGATTTTGTTGTGGTTTTTTAAATACACGTATTTCTATACGTATTTCAAGCAGAACCTGGATCTTAGTGTGGTAGGAATAAATCACTGGAAAGCTGCCCATTGTTGTTGAACAGGAAAGCAGCAAAATTAAAATCAGTTAAGATATTTTTTTTCAAACAGGATTCACAAAGCTTATACTTCAAATATTTCTTCATTGTCTTGCTCTTACGTTAGCTGTCATCCTGCACCTGCAAATTTGTGCTGCTGTCCTGCTGTTACTGTGGCCCAAGCAAGGAAGGGGATCCTTTTTGGTTTGGTGTTACTGTTTCAAGGATCTCTAGTTGGTCTGTGTCCGTAGAGGCTGCAGAAATGCAGGGAGTCATGCCCATTGTTGTCAGGCCGTCGAGGAGAGCCGTGATCCCTCCTGGCTGCATTTTTCGTTTAGCCAGGCTGGTGGCTCTTGGAACGGCTGTAATTTAAAGCTGGCGCTCCGGCAGTGAGGTCAGCCTTTTCCCCTTGTTGCTGCCCCCTTTCCCACTTGCTGTATGTGAGTTGCTGTGTAGTCTTCTGCATGAAATGCGAGTTAGTACGTTGGCTGCTGATTCTGGTTTGGGTTTTTTTTTTCCAATTCCTCCGCAGTATTATCTTGGGGTGGTATACAGGTTTCATGGAGATATTTCTACTTGACTGATTGGAGGGACTAGCAGGAAGTACTTCTGTAGACATTTAAAGGGGAAAAAGAGACAGAAGGATGTAGGATCACTGGAAGATGGCCGTTGGGCAGACGTACTAAGTAGTACGTTAATTATCTGTTCGCTGCTTTTGATAACTTTAGCAGAAAGGAGTGCCATCACCTCCTTGAAAAAATTAGACTTGCCTGCAGGCCATGTAATAACTGCTTCCTAAAAAAAAAAAATACAAGAGCTAATTAATAGGTTAACTGTTATGTTTCAGTTACTCGTCAATACTAGCCTATTTAACGCCAGCCTCCAGTAGAGAGCTTTCCTAATTTCTTGTTTGCTTCTCAGAACCCACAGAATGATGGTGGTTGTGCCTGCCATGAGGGAGCATAGGGCTGTTTTTCCGCACATGAAAAAAGTGGCATATGGAGCATGAAGCTTCAAAATACTTGATCAGACTTGCTTTTTAACAGAACTAGTTACAAAATGTTCTGAAAAGAAGGAAAATGAATCTTTTGGTGAAATGAATCTTCTGTTAAGACTAGATGATCCTTGAGGTCCCTTCCAGCCTGCTGTTCCATAACTTGCAATGGAGAGAAGGTCTCTCTTCAGATCTGGGTGTTCCTCTCCAAATGCACATTTTTAGGAACTTCTTAGTAATACAGTAATGTTGTGTGTTGCTTTCCTAAACATACAGAGAAGGAATGATTGACCGGAGTGAGGAATCGTCTTTCATGTGTAGTTATTCACCCCACCCCCCCACCCCCGAGTCTGCTAAAACTGCTCCCTTGAATTCTCGCACTCCCTTAGGTAATAAAGGGCAAGAGCTTTTTCCAAGGAAGGGTTTTAATCTCTCCTCTGATCAGTTTAGTGACCTCTTGAAGAGAGCTGTTCAGTTTACATTGTGACATTTTATTCTAATTTTTTGAGCAACCCAAGACATAGTAAGCAGTGGTTCGAGTGTCTTTCTGCCAATGTTTTGGTAGTGTAAGCTTCACGGCTGCTTGTAGCATAATATAGTTCCATATACTGGAAAAGGAGCTAGAGAAGTCACCCTTCTTCTTGGGAAAACCTGCGCTTCAGTGTTACTTCTCAGTAACGCTGCTGTCCGTCACGAGCTAGGGGCCTGGGGACTTCATTGCTGCAAGCTCCTCCAGTGGGCATGATTTTCCATGACGTGGTTGCAATGGAGAAAAAAAGATACAGGGTTGTGGTCTGAATCCATGTTTTCATCATCAAGAGTATTAATGGCACTTTCTTGCTTTTGTTCATTTAGTACTGGGCTACTATTAAAAATTGGGTTTGGTCTGACAGCAAGGAAAAGGTTAAATTCTCACATTCCCAAACCAATTTGGATACTGTAGCCTGTGGTCTAAGAAAATACAAGAAATCTCTTTTCTCAGTCTTTATAGGCTACTCCATCATGATAAACACCTTTATTTAAAGCAGGTTTTTTCTCTAGACAAAGTGGTGGGACTGATGTTCTCACTTAGGTTTTGCAGGGTATAGCGAGTTTGGCATTTTTAAACGTACTGACAGGAGGGGCAGAGTTCATGTTTCAGGGCGGGTAAGCCTGTGCTTCATTCTGACAGGCAGCTGCTGTGTTCGTAAAAGCATAAACTGTGCATTTACAAATGAGACGTCAGCTGATTCATTTACAAACCACTGAAAATAAGTTCCCTGTAGTGATGCTTCCTTCTCAAATAAATGTTTTTAAAATCCTTTTTAGTTGAAACTTGGCAGCTTCCTTACCCCTTCGACTTTTAAGCAGTCGTGAGCATTTACCGGGGTCCCTCTCTGAGGCACCCTGGAGCAGTGAGTTAATCTCGGCGGGTTTGGTTGTTTTAGTTTCTTCTCATTAACCACGCGGGCACTCGTAAGCCGGCATAGATTTGGACTTTGCTTTGAATAATTACATCAAATTGCCCTGGGTTGGAAATGCCTGGCGGTGGCACTCGCAGGATATAGAGCAGGGTTTCAGACTACAGTAGAGGTTAACTGTTGCAATGTTTTGATTGTAGAACTTGAATATGTGTTTAATTTTTTGTGAACAGATTGATGACTCTTCTGCATCTATTTCTCTGGCCCAGCTTACTAAGGTATATATATATTCTTGTCAAATACTTTAAAAAAAAGTGTTTGCTTCCTATTTTTAAATTTATACTGTGATCTATAGCTGGATAACTGTTGTAATTTGAACAAAACTTTTAATTTAATTTTTTATACTTTAAAGTATTTATTTTAACTTTAAAATGTGTGTATATTTCGATACTATCCTGTAAAGAGTAGTTCCCAGTTTGGGAAGATAGAAGGGGAGTACC